AGTGCATTCAGATTGTTACCCTGTAGTGTGTTATATGGGTTTCTGTGCATGTAAATGTAAATGGTCTGCATTTACCCCCCTGCCTCAAACACCTCCATTAGACTCCTTTGTTTACTTCCATAATAGTGACATCACTATGTAACACTCGCTGTAACACATTGTACGGCTAAGGGGCGGGACATGTCGAAGCGGTTGACCAATCACAACAGAGCCGCCCACCTAACCAATCAGAGCAGACTGGGCTCTGGTTTCAGACAGAGGGTGAAAAGAGGTGCTGCAGCACAGGCAGTATGAGAAAAATAGATCTACTATTTATTGATCTACTATTCAAGTGACTCTTATCTTGATGAATATACTGAAATACATTTTGATTTTAGATCTCAACCTGTAGTTCAGAGTTTCCCATACTTTGATTTATTTGTAGCGGGCCGCGGTGCGGTGCCCCCACAAATAGAATCAAATTATGTGGGAAACATTGTAGTTCTATATGTTGTTGGCTCCAACTCCCTTATAACATTTTAAAAAGGATAATCTATTTGTATCTGTTCCCAATGGAAGCGTAACAGACTGTTATAGCATCGAAATAGTTACAATTCCAGGGACTAACAGCACAATATATTATATATTCGAACAGTACCCTCAGTCCAACAAATGATGTGTCCCTACTGATCTAATATCAGTTGAGTTACACCCCTCTTCCTTTGAGTGATTGATTCTCAAGTATGACATCATTCCCGTCACCCCCCTGGAGCTAAGTTATGTGAGAGTTTTTAAAATAACCCCACAGTTAATTTTCCACTTGGGATAAAGCTTATTGCTTTCTTTTCTGACTTGCGTAAATAGTGTTCATTTCCCCAACCCCTCTCTGGCTGGAGCTGAGGCTGCCATCTGTTCTGGGGAGAGTTCCTTCTCCCTCTCTCAGACTGAGGTCAGCTACATAAAAGCTCGGTTCTGTGACAAGGGTGACGGGCTAAGTGCTGGTAATTTACTTGTTAGCTGTGGACAAGAAATATTGCAGTCATGGTGATGTCCTTTCTCTTTTGATGAAACCACGCTGGGTCTGGCACTCAGGGAGCCCCTCACACTGAGCTCTGCAAGAGTTAAAAGTATGTTGGGTGTGTGTGAGTGTGCGGCTGGGTTCATGTGGTAGGGATCCAAGGTGAGAAGCAGAAAGTGGGAGGCATAATGATTTTCTTTGTGTCACTGCCTTGATGCAAGACCTTTAAATTCCAAAGTTAAGGAAAGAAAATTGCTCAGACTTTACGGTTAACTGCTACAGCCTGTTCAACCTTGCATGTGGCGGGGACAGATGTTCACTAAAAAGGTAGCGGGGGAAGAGGTGACACCGATATATGAGGTATTGAATTCCACATGATCTGAGTCACTGCTGGCCCTCATAGCTCAGATTAGCTCTGATAAGACTGCTGAGAATCGATGGACCTCAGTAATGCTGTGAGATATACTTATATACTGGCCAGCAATGACGCTATAGAAACGCTAACATAACATCCTAAGTATTCACTGAATCCCCTTCGACTTGAATCCAATGATATATTCATCACAAGGCAAATAACCTCCAGTAAAAACAATCCTAAAGTACAAAGGAGCATGAATGTCTGGTGAATGTTTGCAGTCTTACTCGGGATAAATGTCCAGTTTAACCATTTATTTGTTTGATGAACATAAGTTAATGTACAGATATGCTCCATATCAGAATAATACAAATGAGATCAAGAGAAGGAGGACAGAAGGCCAAAAGACGACCCAGCCACGGTCTGCTACCATATTATTGTTTTTTTGTTTCTTATTTAGCATAAAGGTATTACAACTGCATTTTCTTTTCTTTGTGCAACCCTGTACTTTAACAATGAGCTTCAACCAAGCTCTATTTTGTTTTCGGAAATGTGCCAACTGAATGAAATACACCCATCTTCTACCACAACACACTTTACATATGTGGTTAGGGCCGAAGAGTGAGAGGTTATTGCTGGGTCTCACTTCAGATACTATCTTATTACATAGTCATGTCGTGCACTGTGAACACTTATGCAGAGCATGAAATCCGATCGTGTAATGTTGTCACAAATCTCACGGATGCTGTGCCCTCAGCGGTGTGACGATTGCTGGTGTTAGCTAGCTAGCAACAAGTGTTCGCAGTAGCCATACCATATCATTACAGAGTGTTCAATTTGTGAAAAACACGTTTTACTTTTAACAGTGTAGTGCTGTGGGATCTGAATCTGAAGCAACCGCAATTGGGACTTGTTATCAAGATGGCGATTGTTGAGTGTGAGAAGTGTTCCACACCAAAAAAAGGTCACCGTTAAGGTTAGTGTTCAAGTTTGAATGCACCATCCGGTACTCATTGTGCATTGTGCCCTACTTTGCATTTGAAAAACACACTTGTGCACATAAAACAGCAGATCTAAGAACAGAATGATGCGATTCGAGACACAGCGTGTCTTTTCAAGTTTGGAAACAAGAGAATGGAGGTGGATAA